AAAACATACAACAGCGGGGATTCGCTAGTGGTCACCCACCTAACTACTAATCCGCCGGTATCATGCTTGTATATGGCTGAGCGGACGGGAAGCCTAATTTTCATGATCCTATGGTCGTATGTGAAAGGATGGGCAATTTGTCATAATATATCGACGGTATCAATGACTAAGCATCGAAACACGGTGCTCATGCACACCCTGAAATTTGGGGGACACACCCTGTTTGCGCTGGCTAGGTCCTCAATGGCAAGACTCACGCGCTAGTCTTGGGATCGTTTGTGGCTGAGTAGACAGAAACTCTACTGTCGTAATGATTGTACCCCTCTATCAGCCGCCTGCGCTAACTTCGAAGGTTGTGCCTACACGTGTGACGGGAACCTGAGCACAAAAAGACCAAGATCGGAACAGAGAACGAGTATGTAGTTAGGCAACAGCAAGCAACTAGCATGAAGAGATTCATGTGCCAACGCGGTAAATGGTCACCTGCCCGGGTAGGAGCTGGAGACGATCTCGACCAGCTGCGTCCTAGCGCTAGCCAAGCGATCTCACCGGGACAAAGACCAACGAACATTAACCGACGATCCTCTACTCCACAACAAGACATCGAAGCGACCCCGCAACCCGTACACAGGGTAATTAGACCGGACGCGGGGCTTAGAGTAATAACGGTTTGGAGTACGAACGGCTTAGAGTACTAACGACTCCAACCATGACGTCGAGTAAGCGCTGTGCCTTGCCAAAGGGTCGCTAGGAAGGCGTATAGGGCCGAAGGAACAGGGCGTACATAAGCCGACCAAAGACCAGAGAAGAAGTGATGTTGACGGGCTACCGTTTGTACACGGGCTAACGAACCTGATTTATCCGTGATACACGGCCCTTCAATCATTGCGATTGAACTGCGGGTCGTTCTTGTCACGTACCGCGCAAGTAAAAGCTACGAGCCACGCGCAAAGACATTGGACTATCTTCTGAACCGACAAGTAAGTAATGAAGCCTGATCTATGAAGTTCACATCCACGCGAGACCTATTCACTAACGAGTCTAGAGCTGTTATGATCGCAATTACAGTATTGGGGTCAGCGGCCCTGGCAGCTACCGTCGTGGCGTACCCTCAAAGTTCCACGACGTTTTCACCTCCGCCGACCGATGATCTCTCTTCGCCATGCGAAGAAGCGGCCTCAAGACTCTATCTAGAGGACGGACCTCAAAAAAACTACCTCTATTCTGATTGTCACACCAGCGCCCACGTCATTGTGACAACTCCCAATCCTGATAGCAACGCCAGTGTCGTCAAGCCTCGGCTTGTCGTGGCATGGCCTGCTGGTAACAGTGGAGCCATGGCGTACTTCGCGCCTGAGAGCGGTCAAGGCAGTCTGAACATCAGTCTGGAGGAGTCCGGGAATGGAGAAACAGTCCAGCCACTGAATGCTTCGGATCGTGTTGGAGTGTCAGCATCGATCAAATTCAACACTACTGCTAGATTGACGCAACCTATCCTTGGTAGTATACGGGCTATTCGCGACCAGACCGAAGGCTCAGGCGTTAGTCAAGACTTCCAGAATAATTTCGGTTTCGCGATCAACGAAGACGGGAGTGCCTCCATCAACCGTACCTGGTTCGACGGTGTGACCACTACGACATTGACATTCTCGCCGCTGAACGGCGCTCAAGCCATTACGCTGAACCGCGAGGCGAATTGGACTTTGACATTCGGCGAAGGTAGCTACCGCTTTGAAGCTTCTTACAACTATCCGCAACTGGAGCAGCTCAGTTCTCAAGAAGTTCTCAACGACGCGTCTTCCGGCTTGATTGCAGAGAACCCGGATCAAACCACCTCTTTGTCATTCCTATCGTACTCAAACAAGCTGCTGGCTGGCACATGGCGCTTCCTCACCTATTTCGGTCGAGACAGTATGCTCTCGCTGCTGTTGATGCAGCCCGTTCTTAGCGAAGCAGCTATCGAAGCTGTTATTGGAGCTGTGCTTGAGCGAGTCAATCGCACTGATGGTACTGTGTGTCACGAGGAGGTCCTCGGCGACTACGCGACGTGGCTCAACAAGAAGAAGGGAATCAATTCCAGCGCTCCTGGCTGTGACTACAAGATGATCGACACGGACTTCATGCTTCCAATTTCCATGAACAGCTACTTCGTAGATACAGATGCTGGAAAGAATCGTTCGGACGCTTTCTTCAGCAAGACCGCAACATTCCTAGTCGAGAACGACGGACTGGCGTATTCTGAGCTGGCCCAGTTCACCGCTGAAAAGATCATGCGGATTGCTGCACCATTTGCGCAGAGTCAAGTAAAAGAGAACCTCATCCACCTCAACGAAGGCGAGATAGTCGGCGAGTGGCGAGACTCTAGTAATGGCCTTGGAGGAGGTCGCATCCCTTACAACGTCAACACCGCGCTTGTACCTGCGGGACTTCGGGCTATTGCAAGTTTGAGCCGCGCGGGCTTCTTCTCCGACCACCCGGACTGGTGCGAAGAGGCTAGCAAGTACGCCCAGATTTGGGAGGACGAGACGTTACGCTTCTTCGAAGTCACCGTCCCGCAGGCCGACGCCAAATCTCTTGTTGAGGACTACGTCTCGAACGCCAACCTTACCCTCCCAACAAATGTCGACAAGATCACAAGCGACGTCACATACTACGGCGTCGCCCTTGACGGCGAAGTCGGTGCACCCATTGTGCCCGTCATCAATAGCGATGACTGCTTCCGCCACTTCCTCCTCGACACCACGAACCAAACCCAGCTAACCGCATACATCAGCCAGACCGCTGATCATATCCTCCAACCTTTCCCAGTTGGCTTGTCGAGCGAAATTGGACTATTCGTTGCGAACCCTGCGTACGCTGGAAATGTGACCTTCGAAGCAGGTTTCTCAACGCACGACTACCATGGCACTGTAGTATGGAGCTGGCAGCTTGCCATGATGGGCGCTGGGCTTGCGCGACAGCTTGGTCGATGCGACAAGGAGGGTGCGCCTGGTAAGTCGATATCCTGATGCATTCTCACGTTTTTCCATCGTGTGATAGCTAACTCAGCATTGTAGACTTCTGCGTAGACTCCACAGTCTATGACAATGTTCTCTCCGCATACAACAGCCTTTGGGATACAATCGACGCCAACCGCGACCAGCTAAGCCATGAGGTTTGGAGTTGGAAATACGACAACGGCTATCAGATCGAGCAGCTGGGCTCGTTGACCGCGACTGAGAGCAACATTCGCCAGCTCTGGAGTTTGACTTTCCTTGCTGTTAAGAGGGAGAGTTTTGGAAGCGCGTAGAGATGATCAAGTTGCGGTAATTGGTGGTAAATGCAAGACAATGAAAGTAGTAGGCACGAGATACAGTAACTTCAATTTAAGAACAAAGAAAGATGTTGATTCTGATTACAAACAAGTCTCATCGCATCAATTCCCATCTTCGGTACTTTGCAGCGAATTAGAATGCCAGGTGATAGGCCAGGCCCGCGATCCTAATCACGTGTAGGCTGCTAAGGCTAAGGGCGAAGTTATTAATAAGAAGATAAAGCGTGCACGGCTAAAAAGCAGCCTCTTACACCCCCTTTAGCAGCAGCAACAGGCTATAATAAAGTATAAAAGGGCTATATATATAAGTTAGAGGGGTATAGGCTGTTGCTTCGCGAAAATTACACCTTGCAGGGCCGCTTCGCGGGAGTTAGAGACTCCGTATTGTATTGTTAGATGTTAGATGCATGAGATAAGAGCTCGGATAATGCCGGTCAGCGCGTGTGGCTTCGGGCGAAACTCGCATTAACTCGCGATTCGCTCGCTTTGACGTCATCGTTTACAAGCCTCGACAACACCGTATACACCGTGTTACTTTAAGCGGGAAAGCCCATTCAACTATCTGCAGGTGAGTTCTTCAGCCTGGGCAATGGGGCGAATCTTGCATGTACTGGGTCAAATAGTCCACGATCATACTCGCCGTTCGGAGACGGACCAAAATCTGTCCATGAGGCAAGACGTATTCGGGCCATTATGCGATGGAGTTAAGGGATTAACGTGGAGATAGACGAAGAAAAGCAGATCCTAACATATGTTACCAGACGCCTTCCACAGACCGTAGTATTTATATAGCAAAGGAGAGCTTTCGAAGACGCTCAAATCCACAGCTCATCGTACAAGACTTACCTCATCAAAATCAGTCACCTTCGGCTTCGTCGAGAAGCACCTCATTAAGTCTGGTCCAATTCCCCAAATAAGGACAATTTCAACAATGGCCCAATATGTCGAGCTTCACAAAATCGCGAATCTTCGTGGCGCAGGCGACGCTCGTCCCACAGCCCTCCAAGTCATTCGCGACGAGGGTCTGACCGGCAAGTTGACTGACAAAGTCTTCCTTATCACAGGAGTTTCTTCGGGTCTAGGTATCGAAACACTCCGGGCGCTGCACACAACCGGCGCCCACGTATTCGGAACCGTGCGCAACATACCAAAAGGCCAAGCTGTCGTCGACAAGATCCTCGCAGAAAAACATGCCGAAGGCGGGAAGATCGACCTAATCGAGATGGAACTAGACAGCTTCGCCAGCATCCGCAAAGCCGCCAAAGAGATTCTCACCAAGACCAACGGAAAGCTCAACGCTATCATCGGCAACGCAGGCGTAATGGCCACACCGTACGGCAAAACCAAAGACGGCTACGAAACCCAATTCGGCACCAACCACCTTGGTCACTTCCTCCTCTTCCACCTCCTCAAAGACGCTCTCCTCTCATCCGCAACACCCGAGTACCCCAGCCGCTACGTCAGCCTCAGCAGCATGGCACACATCTGGTCTACCGTGCACCTCTCCGACTACAATTACGAAAAGACGGCATACGAACCGTGGAACGCCTACGGCCAATCCAAAACAGCAAACATCTGGTTCGCAAACTCCATCGAGCGGCACTACTCATCCCGCCATCTCCACGCTACGTCTGTGCATCCGGGCGGTATTATCGAGGGGTCTGGACTCGGGGTGCATGTCTCCGAAGAAACCAAACAAGCGATGTTTGGGGACCCGGAGATATTGAGGACGTTCAAGGATGTGGGGCAGGGGGCTGCGACGCAGGTTTATGCGGCGGTGGGTAAGGAGTGGAAGGACAAGGGTGGGAGGTATTTGGCTAGTCTGGCGGAGATGGGGACAAGAGAGGAGGAGGCGGGGAAGGAGAGGATGTATGAGAGTGCTAATGAGGGGTATGCGGCGTGGGCGTATGATGAGGAGGGTGAGGAGAGGTTGTGGAGGGAGAGTTTTGGGATGGTGGGGCTTGAGGAGTTGTGAGAAGGAGGGGCTTGAGAGTTTTGAGACTGGTAGCGAGGTGTGCTCGAAGATGGCAATATTAAGAGGCCTACTAGATGGTCTCCTTCTTTCATGTACACACTTGGTATTGTACTTACACAGGCATTAAACTCCAGGAGAAAGAAGGTGGGACATTGAGCACGAAGGACAATTACAAGCACATTCTGACCAAAGTTTGTAATTTCCAAGAGTTGGTAAAAGCCATCCGATCTAAGACTTGAGCTTCTGGAACACAATCCCACAACGCCCAAAGACCCTACTTAGCCCCATACTCTAATACTCGATCGTCATCCCAATCGAAAGCCCGAGTATCCCTGAGTCCTGGTCGATGAAGACCCGGGATCTAGCCTACATGAAGCCCATGCTCTTTTCTCAATCGTTTTTCGAGGGACGTGGACGGTGACGTAGTGGTGAAGGGCGTTCTAGCCACGGGAGTGAAGGTGCGAGCTGAGGTTTGTTGTCGTGGAGCCTATCCGTGCACCGGTCAAGCACGGACGTTGGGGCCGACGTTGCCCCTACGTGCAGCTCTTCGCGATCCAAGACTGGTGTGTAGCCGGCAACCTCCTCGACGCGCCACCATTTACTAAAGCTCCAGACGGCCATCCATGAAAGCGTTCCATTGATCAGCAAGAAATACCTCGAAGTCCACAGCGTGTGTGCAGATCGCTTCACGCTCGAGCTGGAACTCGTCATCGCTACTGCTGAACAAAGACCTGATGCGAGTCATGTCCGCGCCCCATGACAAGAGCAAGCCAAACATCTCGAGGTCGTTACGCTCGACAGTGAGCCAGAGAGGGCTGTGGTCAGGTAGCGAAGTCGGAAGTCCGTCCGGATGAGCGCCAAGCTCGAGGAGCTTCTTCACCGGACCTGGCTTGCCAATTTCGATCGCGGTGTACAGAAGACAGCGGAGAGGCAACTTCTTGTCGGGGTAGCCTTGGTTAACATCGAGATGTCCTTGTACGAAGAGTCGTGTGAGGCCGGGGATGTTGTTGTTTTTGCAGACGCGCTTGAACGATGCGATGTGTTCGCGAACATCGGCCTCAGTCCGAAGAGTACATACCATCTCATAGATGCGACCGTCCGGATCTTCACTCGCCGTCTCAAGCCACTTCGCACGTAAGCCCGCCGGGAGTGGGTCAAAGTGTTTGTGGTAGACGTCGAGAAGTCGCAGTGTCATAGCAGAATGGCGGCGGCTCAGTGACTCCTCGATGGCTTTCTTGAAGACCGCAGCATACTCCTCGTCAGGATGAAGGCGGTAGCGCATCTCGAAGTTCTCCAACAAGTATTCGGCGACCTCCTTATGATCACCACCTGCAGCGGCAGCGAGTGGATATCCGTAGAGGTATGACGCTTCCCAGAGCGACTGGTTGACGTGTGCGCCTGCCACGAGCTTGAAGAGGTCGAGGAGACCAAGCGCCGCTGCGACGGCAAGGTCGTGAACGGCGACGTGAGAGTGATAGTTTGTAGCCCACGGCCAGAGACGCGAGAAAACCCGGGCCGTGAACTTGTGAGTCGCAATCTCAAATGAAGACTTGCACGCGAAAGCCAACTGTTTGCTCAGTATGAGCGCAGCCTCGTACTCCTGGTCCGCGCGGATCGCATTAGAGCTACGTAGCCAGTCCACCGAGAACTTGATGATCCAAGGAAGAAAGTCGTGCTCGCCGTTGAGGTCATCCCAGGCTAGGATCGCCCGATGAGCGATATGAGCTGGAAGTAGGTTCTTGAAGAGGGCGCGGGTGTACCTATCTAGCGGGAAGAAAGCCCTTGTTGGCTGTCCCGCTGTGCGGTCGTCGATGCTGCTCTGGAAAGTCCCTGGTAAGACGCTGTCAGTTCGGCCATTCTCATCATCCCTATAGATGCTTCGCCATGGGAGGACTTACTGCTGATTCCGCGCAACGGCCACCATAGGCTGACCCCATGGACGTCGACCCCGAAGCCCACCATGTTGTTGACCACCTCCGCGGGCAGATGAGGCATTGCCATGGTAGATGTCGCCGTCGATGTCGTTATGGAATACTGTCTATCTTCGATGGGGAGAGGGGGGTCGCGTCTGTTCAGTGTCCGCAGCTTAATTTGTTTGTGTGGGAGTTCGCCTCGTTCAGGGAAAGCGTCCGACCGCAACACGTCCAGTTATTCACTGATACCTCCTCTATCTACGAGACACTCGACCGATAGCGATGGCTCGGACCACCTTGTAACACATTACTGATAGAATTACGAGGCTAGAGGGCGTCGACGGTAATTTCAGGTCATATACGGGAAGCTCAGCCTCTACTGTCTCAGCGGGGCACCCGTGATGCGTCACACGCATTGCCCGTGATGGAGTGTATTGCGTCGACACATCACCTAGAAGCTCTTTCTGAAGAGACAGAAGGCGATTTCGAACCGTAAATATGGGCCATGAAGCCCGCGGAGAAGAAAGGACATAAGATGGGACGACGACTATGCAGTGACTTTCGACGACGCTGCGCTTAGGGGAGAAGGAACCACGAGAGCGTCGCAGTCGAACATTTTGCAGGCAATCTTTATGAAAGAACATGAAAGTCTTGTTTGGCTGCAGATACGGGTCGCAAAATCCGAAGAGCAGAGAACAGATAAAATGACCAAAGTGCAGTGACTTATGATGACATTGCGCCCTGAAGAGGTGGCACCTGAACCAGAACAGAGAACCTGTGAGATCAAGGCACCATTTCGGTGTTCAAGGTAGTGGGCGACAGGACGGATCGAAATATCAGACTGAATAGCTGTTATACAGAGTCGTGGATGCCAGAGTTCAGGGACACGGCTTGAGTGTGTATGGTGGCAGCATGAGCACATTCGAGAAGACGAATGCTAACAGACTAAAAATACTGAGATACTGCGAAACGAGATCAGCTTGAACCAAGGGAAGATGCGAGACCAAGTAGCTGCTATACTGAGCTGTGCATGCTGGAGTCCAGATCTTGGGACGCACGATCTGCATATGCAGGTAGAATGCTTGATAGAAGAACTGAAAATGAGCTCTGAACACTTTTGAAGAAAGGCGCGATATCAGTATAAATGTAGCGCTTTGATGACTCCTGTACATAGCAGCCGGTCACCTATGTGCAAGCCGAACAGGATGCCGTAAAGCTGAGCATGTAGGACCAATGGGTCAAGTGGGCATTCAGGTCGTGATGCGTAACGGCATGGCAGGCATAGAATCTTGTTACGAGTAGCTGCTTCGATGGCGGGTTATTGTGGCCGTCTGGTGTTGGATGGGATGTTGATGATAGAAGACATAGTGTTTCGCAAACCTCACGACGTCAGGCTCTAGTGACGCACGTGGCGTTAGCGTGCCGCGGCTGCAGCAACGACGTCAACCAAGGCATGGACCCTGGATCTTTGCTGCAGCGTCGCTCTTTTGCTTTTGGCATTCAACGCGTCTCCGCCCCGGTATTCAATAAACCCAAAGGACATCACGCGCATACACTCAGCTTGGGCCAGCAGAACGACGCTATTGCCGCGAATACAGTGCACGCGACCGCGCCAGGCATCGGCCTAACACAAGACGGCCGCCTGCCGCCGAATCACCAACACCAGCTTTACTTCCTAGAACTTTTACCACATATATCGCAAGCATGGCGCCTCTTAAGATCTCAATACCGACGACGCAAGAGCAGACACCCGAGAACGGCAAGGCCTACACTTCCTACACCATCAAAATCGAACACCCCTTCCCACGCGCCACAACCAGCATACAAAAGCGCTACTCCGACTTCTCCGCCCTCGACTCGTCGCTCCGCTCAGAAGTCGGTACCGCACCACCAGCGCCCCTCCCCCCAAAGTCCTGGCTCGGCGGCTTCCTAGGCGTAGGCTCAACCACCTCCCCCGAAGCCATCGAGAAGCGACGAGTCGGGTTAGAAGCCTATCTGCGCGCGATAGAAAGCGCCGAAGACGGGCGTTGGCGCGTCTCCAAAGCCTACAAAAAGTTTCTGGAACTAGGAGAGAAGGATGGCGCGAACGGGAAAAAGGCAGCGGGGTTCCCGGGTAGCCAATTCGGCAAGGATAGAGTGAGGGACAGTTCAGACTGGCTGGACAAGCACTCGGAGCTTAAATCTAACTTGCAAGATGCAAGGAGGTGGTTGACGAAACGCGAACAAGCAACCGCTGCAACGGCCCAGCATGAAGCCGCGGCCAATGCAAAGAAAAGCCTCGTTCGAGCCGGTACCCTCATCTCTGCGCTTGAGGAAGGGCTGAGTCGGCTTGGTGGATCCGGCAAGAAGACATCAGACGACTGGTCCGGCGACAAACTAGGCGATGGCGAGATCCGACGAAGAAAAGACATGATCAGCGGACTGCGTAAAGAACGCGATGGCCTCGACTCCGTCCTCAACAGCATGGCCGTCAAAGCCGCAATCTCTGGTTCCGGCACCTCCTCCACACCCTCGACCTCCTCCAGCGCCGCCGTCACCGAAAGCCAAAAAGCCGGACTCTTCTCCTCCAGAAATACCTCCAATACCAAGTCCTCTAGCAGCCGTCGCGTCTTCGGCGGTCCGCCCGCTCAAGAAACAGATAAGACCCGCGAGCTGGACAATGAAGGCGTCCTACAACTACAACAACAAATCATCCAAGAGCAAGACGAGGATCTGGTTGATTTGAGCACGGTGGTGCGCAGGATGAAGGAGATGGGTGTGCAGATTAATACGGAGATTGTAGAGCAGAATGCGATGTTGGGCTTGTTTGAGGAGGATGTGGAGAGGGTGGATGGCAAGATTCGGATTGCGAAGAAGAGGGTTGATAAGATTAGGTAGGGGAGATTGGCGAGATGGGGAATGGAATGGCAGTTTGGGTTGGGTTTGCGGGTTGTAATATAGGCGTTGGAGTATGGTCCTTTTGGTGCTGGGAATTTCTGTTCTGCATGGGTTTGGGATGGCTAATTTGAGTACGATACCCTTTTTTGAATGGGAAAGCAGGTGTGCATGTGCGATACGGGTGTCGATTGCGTCTCTCTATTCATTTGATCAACGCATGAGCATACTATCCTCCTGTCTTTCGCACATTCCAAGTCAAACGATAAGAGGTCAATTCAACCATCAAAAGAGATCGATGTGTTCGCGTAAAAACAAGGTATTGTCGCTTTCACCCGTACGTCTCGCCAACGTGTGCGTCTAATCCGTACCATCACCCAACCGCATAGTACTCAAATTATCCGACCTTATCTTCAATATATGATCAACCGCCTCAATAAGATGCGGCACGAACTTCGCCGGATTTTCAGTCGCCGGGAAATGACCGAGATCCGGCATCGCCTTGTGCATCGCTCCGGGGATCTTGTCCGCCGTCTTCTGGCCCATCTCTGGGGTGTTTGACCAATCGTACTCGCCGGTCAACATGTATACGGGACAGTTCTGGGTATCGATCGAGGCTACGCGTGAACGTCCGTCCCAACCTCCAAAGTAGAAGTCGAGGTCGCCGTGGAAGATCTGGGGACGGGTTAGAGGAGGGTGGGGTGGGGTGATGGGGGTGTGCTTACGCCGTAGGCTTGCGCGCTGTATGTGTGCCATATGAGCTGCTTGTTCGCATGAGGCGTGGTGGGAGACATCATCTACTGCATGTCAGCAAAGCTCTCTTACTAGTTGACCTGTTTGACGTACGCCATAGATCCATTCAGGGTTAAATAGCGACTGATTCACTACTGGAGAGCGATCATGCCATTGTCGCTCCATGTTGAGGTACTCAGAGCTACAATCGTTAGCATCGCTACTTTAACCTCAATGTCTCACATACCCTTGCAACGGAATGACACCCGCAGCGCCAACCTCCCTATGGCGAATCGCGACCGCAAGACAAACTTGACCAGCCATGCTTGCGCCGCAAATGATCGGTCTTCGCAGACCCAGGGCCTTAACGAAAGCCGTGATGATGCCCACGTAGCTATCCTCTGTGTTTGTATGCGCGCCCGGGGAGTAGTTTTTCGAAGGGAAGCTGCGTCCATGTCCTGGCAAGTCGAATGCGTACATGATGCACTTCTTGCGCATCTTCGCGTCGTTCATGACACCGTGGTATTGCCGGCTATCGCTGCCAGCGGTATGTAGAAAGACGATGGGTTGCTTTCCCTCACCAGAGTACTCGTAAAAGGTTTTGCACCTACCCCATACTGGAGCTTCGAGGTACAGGTACTTTCCAGTAAGGAAGTCGCGCTCGGGTTCGGCTTGCTCGTCCTCCTTCATCGGTCCGCAATGCGCGTCGTGGGTGAGTTCGAGGACACGCCTCCAGACATGTGTCCATTGTGCAAAGGCTGTCTGGTCGCCCAGGACTTCAATGCCTTTCTGTTTGATGTTCATGCCGAACATGCCCCAGTAGCTCTGGTACGGCATCGCCGGGACTGCCTTGAAGTGCTGTTCCCATTGCTCGGGCAGAGCAGAGAGCGTGAAAATGGCATCTTTCGAAGAGCCGGTGCTGGCTTTTGCGCTGCCGTTGTTGACTATGACAAGCAGGGTGTTGTCAGACCCGCTTGACTTGATGCCGAAAGTCACATCTTTGTCAATGGCATTCGAAGTTGTAAAGGCTTTGAGCTGTGCATCGGATTGGAGAAGCTTGGAAAGCTTGTCCAAGCTTCCTTTGAGAGCCGCGGTAAGATCAGACCAGTCAGACATGGTGGTTTGGGGCGTGCAATGACTCGTTACAACGCGACGAATGCGAGAACTCAACAGAGAGAAGGAATTGAATCAAGAAAGGCAGAGGAGGGCATAAATGATGCGCAAGCATGCCGACGGCGCGCTCTACACATATAGCAACGCATAACCCCGGTATCGCCCAGAGCTAGCTATGGAGCTATGGTGCCAGGAGGGGTAGAAGTAATGCGGGGTGCGGCACACGTGGGCGCATGTCTCGACTGTCGCTCGTCATGGTTCCGGTGAGCTCGCTGTTGACCCAGACCAGATTTGGGCGGCTAGCTGATGATGCATGCTATGAGGAGACGCGGGGAGTGTTGATCAAGCAAGCCGGACGCGCGCGAGACACGTTAACCCCACTAGCGCGGGCGCCAAGCCGCTGGCAGGGAAGGCGATCGTTCCCCACAACGCTCCAAACCCACATCCGAGCAAGCCTCAATTATTACGAACCACATGCAAAGCCGCGGCCGCCAACTCATGCCTCATCGTCTTAATCAATTCTGCCCTGACGATAGCTCTCGCGATCTCGAAATGATCAGCTGCAGATCATCGGCAAAGCTCCTCTGGTCCGATTGCGGAGTGTTGGCTTACGGTATTTGAACGTCAGCCGAGGAACTCCCATCTCAACAACGCCTATGATTTACACGTCTTCACGTGTCTCAGCAGACATTCCAAGTGTTGATTTCTATGTGACATGATGATTAACCTCAGCGCGCATCGAGACTGCACAGCGGATAGCGGTGAATTCATATCAGCTCACTCAGGGCGATACTTCAGCCATCCACCGGACTGGCCACCCACACAACTACGCTGACTGCGCTCTCAAGGGCTGGTATTCCACAGAATGGAAGCTCTTGTTTGCGACATTGAGGGTACCACAATTTCACCTCTACCCAAGGCAGAGCCCCATGTGTTACCAGCAAACAACCAGCTGTCCCCTATGACTTGCGGGTTCCAGCATGACACTCTGAGCGTGACCTGGGCTACTTACTTATATAGACATTCAATCCTCACAACGTTCTACGAACCGTCCAGCAGATTACAAGGCGTCAATTATACCGGATTTTGACTTTCAGCCAGAACAAGATGCATCCCGCACGGCAAACACTCATCGGTAACATTCAAGCTTTAGCCACCCCACTCGTGTACGCCATTCAAGATGTGCCTGGAAAAGGTAAGGGCCTCGTCGCGACCAGAGATATCCCCAAAGGTACAAGGATCACTTCTGAGAAACCCATCTTCGCGGTAGGAGAACCAGTTGTGACAGAACTAGCAGAGCGAGTCACGTCTTTGAACCAACATCAAAGAGGCGAGTTTCTTTCCATGTGCAATATCCACCCTTTCAACGACTATACGGCGCAATGGATGGGGATTTTATACACAAACGCTCTACCCATCGGTTCAAAGTTAGATCTCAGCGGTATCTTCATCACAGCATGCCGCATCAACCACGCGTGCGATAACAATGCTGCTCACTTCTGGCACGATGATAGCAATCGGCTAACAGTACATACTATACGAGATATCTCAAGGGGCGAAGAAATTACGATATCTTACCTGGGGGGCGCCTTCGATCGGAACGAGCGACAAGAGGAGCTCCAGAAGAGGTTTCATTTCACCTGTTCATGTCAACTCTGCTCGTTACTATCTCAGCAGTCCATCGAGAGCGACTTGATTCTAAATCGCATTAACGAGATAGACAACATCATCTCAGACGAAACTGGTCTCGGGCCGCGCGGCATCAACGAAACACCTGAGAATCTGCTTTGCCTCATCGAGGAAATGGTCCAGCTGTGGAAGCGACACGACCATAGCCCGAATCCAGTCGGCCTGGCTCATGCATACTACCTCGCTTTCCAGATCGCAAAAGCGAATGGGGATTTCGCTAGGGCCAGAATGTTTGCAGATAGGCTGGTGCCTGTCCGCACGACTTTCATGGGTAGGGAAAGTCGATACGTGAGAGAACACCCGCGCCTGCGCCATGATCCTACGGTTTATAGATTTAGTGGTGTATCGATGCAGAGGCTCACAAACCTCGATGAAGTTCCGTTTGGACCTTGGTGGCATGATCTTGAAGCGTGGCTTTGGATGAGGGATCTTGAGATTGATGAAGGGGTGAATGTTCAGAGCTGGCTTGATGATGTTTCTTGATGGAACAAAGGAAATTTCGACTACACCTACAGACGTCTTTCCCTCCTCATTCAACGCATCCACTACTAGCATATCCTACCTGCTACCTCATTCTCTAACCCCCAAGCCTCAAGTGCGACTGTTACATAGGTATGTTTGCTGCTCGACTAACTTGGAGATATTCGCACATGATCGATGCCTCGGTAAGCAACAAGTACAGAAGAAAGACTTACCCATAGAGGTCAAGGCTCAAACGGGAAAGCGACAGACATCATCCGCGAGAGTTTCAACAGATTAGGAAACCTTGCCATGTCATCTGAGTCCATGGCATATGCAACACCCCGACATCATCGGCACTGGGGACTATGATGCCGTTTCTTAAGCCTTTTCCGTCCGGTCAATCATGCTAGCGTCACACGAAATGGTCATTCGGCTTCTATCGCTCAAAATCATTCCAGAAGCATACGACGATGCAGACTTGCATCTCCATCCGAGGAACACCCACGACTATTCGCCCTTGCCATACGGAAGGAAAGAACACGGGATGGCGCACCCATGGTACAAAAACGTCCTCAATGACCGCATCTTCATTTCTACCACTGATCCAGCAAATCTCGGTCACCACATAAATGCCCATGAAGAACCCCCCATCTCACTTCCCACCTTACCCTCCCACAACCACCACCTTCCACCACCACCCACCAACTCCCCCAAAATGCGCTTCACCGCTCCCATCATCGCCCTCGCAGCTTCTCTCCCCCTCCTAACCACCGCCCAGATGGGCCCCGACGACACGATCTGCGGATTCCTCTACGGCACCGACTACACCGACGCCTGCTGCCACACCGTCATCAGTCGTGGTGTCAATGCGCCTTGCACTGATATCGAGTATGTGAGCAACTTGACTGAGTGCTCCACGTATCATTATCCGACGGGGTGGGCTGTTTGTGTTGAGAAGGTATGGTATTTCCTAGTAATTCCGAAGAAGCTTTGTGGGCGGGGAAGTTGAGATGGGGTGCAAATGGGTGGTCTTGTGGTCAGAATTGGAAATGGGACTGACGTAAACGCAGGAGCCCGCCTATCCCGCCTCCGGCCCTCTCTTCGGCCACGGACCCAGCGGCATCGTGTCTGAGTACATGACGCTTGAGGATTTGGAGCAGGTTTACTGGGATTACTTCAGTTCCAACGCTATGGGCGAGACTATGGCTAAGGCTGTTGCTGCGATGAAGAACGCTTGAGCGCGTAAATTGCCTCAACATAAATGGCTAGGCCGGCGAAGTGGATTTAGGTATGACGTACGGATAAGTGAGAAGGGATGACGGATGGGTGGTACGTTGCATGGCTCTGTCACTCGTTTGGAGTACATGTGAACGGTAGAGGGAGGTCAGCGGGGGGAATGGGTAACGTTGGATTGGTGTGTTGTACCCGGGGGCGTTGGAAGCGGGGATGAGAGGCTGTTTACTTCGAATATAAATACTAACTATTATGCCCATCATCTTCTTAGTCTACCATCCTTCCACCCCCTCCCCTACATCCCCACCAACTCACCCAAGAATGCCCTTCTCTTCCCCCCTCCCCCTGCCCCTCGCCATTCTCCTCCTCCTCACCCCCACAACCGCCCAACCCTCCCCACCCCTCACCCTCTACCAAACCTACTTCGGCCCCACCTACATCGATGCCTGCTGCACCGAACTACTTTCCCACAACGGGCCACCATGTTATACGCCCATACCCGTCGCCAACTTGACAGATTGCACGGTGGATCTGTATCCTAGGGGCTGGGCATGTTGTCTGGAAGGGGTATGTAACGTTGCATCCGTCTTGTAGAGGTACGAGAAACTGATTGAGAAATGTATACACAGTCGCCTGTGGATCCGGCGAATCCGGATTGGTCATGTGGATGGAGTATTGATGCGGGGAGGATGGGAGAGGCTATCATGGATGATATGGTGATTGTGAAGACTGGTGCTGCGGAGAAACGCGCAGGGATGAAGCGATGGTTGAGTGCTCTGAGGAGTAACGTCGTACCCATCTCCACCAGCGCACAATCGCACAATCGCATCAACAGACACTTCAAAACCACATTCCAACTTCGAACAAACTCATAAACATCGTGTATTGAATAATAGGGAGCTAAACTCCCTAGAAAGATGGTATCCTCGCTTCCAAATGCAATCATGACCATACCCACCTTTAGAACACTTCCCTCTCCGACGACTCAGCAGACTGCGCAGTGACAACTCGAGTAGGGGGCTCTGAGACGAATATGAAAGAGCCTGAAAGATTGGCAGTAATAGGCTCCGCACACGGTGTATACTTCACAGGCTTTGCGGATACGAGGATTTGGGAAGGTCCAGTACTTTCAGCGCGCTCTGTAGGTCCATCGAGCCCCGCAGATCGACGAGTCTTTGTACGTTTGGCCGCTTCCAATAACACATGCGCAGCGGAAATGATGTTGTCAAGCTGCACGTCTGAACTGGCTGTCGGAGCATCAGAAAGAGTACTGACGCTCGGCTAGAACGTCTCCTCCTCCGCACCCTCACCCTCAGCCTCTGGTGGGATCTCGAAGCCCTCTTCGGTAGAGTAGAGAATGTTTTGGATCTGCTTGAGCAGCCCCTCATCCTTCTCGAGCTCGGGGTCGGCCTCCATTGCTTGCTGGATCAGCAATTCAATGTCGCGCAGCTTGCTGAAGTAAAAGTCCCTCTCGCGCTCGAGGCCCGTGACAGTCTCCTTGAGAGCGCTGTTCTCCTCGCGCAGAGCGGCGCTGGCGGCTCCTCCCCCAGAGGCAAGCGGTGTGCGTGTCCTAGGCGCAGCCGTGTTGCTAGCAGCTGGTGCTCTTCGGGCAGTCGATGCTGCGGCGCGGGGTGCAGGTGTGGCTCCGGTCGCGACACCGCCCTGACCCTTGCGACGGGCAACGGGGTCGTACTCGTGGCCGGGGAAGTGCTGGTCCCAGTACTGCTTGACGAATTGGAGGAACTCGAGGTTGTCCTGCATCTTGCACTTTACGAGCGACTCGACGCGGATGGGCTTGTCGACATGGTGCTTGGCGAACGTGTCTGCATTGTTAGCGGAGAATTTGGGCGGTGTGAAGGCAGACGTACTCTGTAATACCTTGAAATTCTGCAGGTATGCGTACTCAGTGTTCGCATTGAACTTGACTCGCGACATGGGCACATCGTCTGCACGCTGTTAGTCTTAATCTCATCCGCGCCTAGGTGAGGTGGAAGACTTACAGAATATGCTGTCGAAGACTTGGCACAGCGCTGCTCTGTCCGCCATATCAGTACACGTCCTTACTCCTCAAGGCCAGGGGTGCCCCTCTATCCTCGGCGCGCGTAACGTACCCGGTACCGCATTGTTCGACTTTGGTGATGTTGAGCTGGAGGAGGTTGTTCAACCAGGCGACGAGTTCTTGTCTGTTCACGTGTAGCTGTCAGTGTGTGGTCGTGGTGAAGGTGTCTGCGCAGATGGCCGCAGCCTAACCCCTCGGGCCTGGTGCCTACCTTGATTCTCCCATGGCGGCTATCTATGTGCAGGCGTCTAAGGGTTTGTTTTGGGCGATCAGCGACGAGATAAAAGCATGCAGCCCGAAGTGTCCGTGGTGAAGGGGTGGCGTTGCAGGCGGTGGGCGTGAGTGCTGTTATTTGTTGATGCGCCGTCGAGTCGGGGAGTTGACAATTTGGGCGCCGCTGCCCCACGCTGGAGATTTTAGCGTCAGGTCATGGCGCTAGCGTCACGTGCGATCATATCCACTGGTCGCGACTGCCCTACGAAGCATCCAGAACTAAACTTCATCATGCATTCGTCAATGGTAGTTTTATGATGCGGTCCTTGATTACACAGTCCCACACCTTGCTGTCCTCCGACGTTGTCACCATCTACCCAGCGAACTCCCTCGCAATCATAGCGACTGCTGTGCCCCTATCCGCCCTCACCGCTTCAAAAGCCCTGACAACCGCCGGAAACCACACATTGGCCATCTTGACATCCCCGCTATCATTTGGATGCACTCCATCTCTCAAGTCCGCTGTTCCACTAAACCCAGTATACTGGTCCACAACCCAGATCGGGCTTTCTGTCGTATTGAGACCCTGAGCCCAAGGAACGATTGCGCGATTCAGGTCTTGGATCTTGGTGTTGTAGCTGCCGAACCCCATGGGGATGATTTGCGCGACCTGGATGAACAGGGTGAGTAAGCAATTGGTATACTCTAAGGCGAGACAGACTTGTGTGGCAGCAACACCTTACACACCTGGGCAGGCAAGTATGGAAAGAAACAAACTCACCACAATCTTCATCCTCGGATTCGCCCCCCTCATACTCCCCACCAGCGTCCCAAACGCCTTGATAATATCCGCCACCGCTTTATTCTGCTGTACAATATCATTCGTGCCAAGATGCATCGTTATCACATCCGCAGGATTACTTTTCAGCCAACCATCCAACTGCCCTTTATTCGCAATGTCAATAGCGAGGAAACCAGAGTGGCCTTCGTTGTCGCGGTCGTAGGTTGTGTCGCGGCAATTGTTCTCGGTTTTGCCGCTGCCGACGAAGTCGACGGTGGAGGAGTTGAAGGGCGTGGTTTGGAGGCGTTGCCATAGCTTGGAGCGCCAGCAGATTATTTCGGTTATGGAGTCGCCGAAGGGCATGTAGCGGATTGTAGCGTTGGCGGATTGGGCGGATGCTGTTGTGAGGAAGGCAGTGAGGGAGAGGAGGGCGGGGAGTAACATTGTGGTGGGTACGATGTCGTGAAGGTACTCGTCTATGTGCGAAGCTATGGTTATGCTTCGGTTACGTTTTGGTGTGAGGAACAAGGAGCTGGTCGTCTTATGTTGTCTTCATGCTGTTCACCTGGCGACATCTCATCTATCGCACTGTACGCCATCTCTCAACAAATATGAACATGACGCCAAAGGTACTCTGGACGCAAATGAGGACTGCGGAGAGAAGGAAGTCTGGTGATGTGGGCGACATCTGTTGTGACTGGGTGTTACTATACCGAAGGCTAAATGCAGCTGCCGGATGATCGCTAATATACGCAGAATATGCATGCTCGGAGAAAAGGCAAGAATGCGGGGAAGATATAGCAGACTACCCAGTACGTATTGGAGGGATCCGGTGTATTATTTGGAGCGGTCTTTGGTGTTTAGACGTTAAGCGATCTCGTCGAGCGGCTTTGGTTTTCGGCATCCATCTAATAAGTTCAAAGTGAAAGTCAATAGCACGTGCGGAAGATACTCCGAAACCCAAAGGGTCTTTTCCAGAGGGACTGGTACCCGCTAGCCCTGATGTTAGCACGGACGAAAATGTCAGAACTGAAGAAGTAGGTACATGCGACGACTGGGAGAGTGTTGGCCAAAGCATAACGCTCGAATCTCGACGGAAGGAGAACTGCTCACCGCCTCTGACTTTCCCAAAGACTCAAGTCGCCGAACGTGGTGTTCAGAAGGAGAAGGTGGAGTGCTCGTTCATGAAATTCGACCGTGGCGTAGATGAAGACACGCCGTCGCGCCGAGCGACATGCGGTGACCACAACGACACATAGAGAAGTACCTTCCTCATATCGACCATGACTAAGGAAGTCCTAATCATGACTGTACAGCACTTTGACGATGTACGAGGAGATGAACTACCCACCATGAGCTTCCACCAACCACAGCCCTCTAGTTGTCAGCCTAGCTCTTCTTCTGGCAGCTTCACTCCCAATACACTCTAAGCCTGAGGCGCAGCAATGTGAATTTGGAATCGCAGGCATCGTATGATGCTCAATGCTCGTTACCGCTACCGCCGGATGTTACTCCTTAGCGGACGGTAATACCCCAGATTTCTGCTCGGCCCTTTCCCGACCGACATACGCTGCCGGGGTGTTGATTGGCTGGGTGAGTAAGAAACTTGGAAGTGGCAGTGCAAGAGTCAACACGTGATTGCTGCAAAATTGTTGTGATGAGGAAAAGGGCCTTTGTCGGTGCAAGGAGAGGAAAACAACCGAGTCGAAAAAACACACGGATCGTGAAATGCACGCGAGCAGAGAAACGTGCACTCGAGCACAAACTGCGAGGAGACGGCGAGGTGCGCGGAGGTGAGACGATTGATGTGAAAGATTGGGGCGGCGGGTGCTGACTTCGTGCGACAACTCACTATCGGCCCTCACACTTAACTCCGAAGGCTCTCGCGATCGAGCAACCCCGCAACAAGATGTCGATAACTCATCATCGACGTATGCTGAGAGAAAGCAGCTAGCTTGGCATTGTGATGCCTCGGTGATTCCCAGCAGAAGATGCCGATGGTGTTGATTTTACTTCCTGGAATCCAAGGTTTCGCGCTCCGAGCTGACGCGGTCCTCGAGGGCTGAGGCTGCCACGCTTGCAAGCCACCAGCCTGCGCCTATCGAGACATGAACGGCGCCACGTGAAACCGACCGGACTTCATGCAGCTGCAGTGCGATGGATCCCAAAGTAGAAGGCAACTCCATGCAGTGGTAATAATGTCGCGTATACACCGTAATATGAGAAACAGGCCGAATCTCCGATGGGAATTCCGACTAGGCCGGTGATCGAGAGCTGACGGTGACGAGCACAGCCTGGACAGCATGCTCCTGTAAGAGTGTGCCCAGCTCGAGGATGAAGTCATGGGAGTCTGGATCTCGACGCATGTTGCTGACATGTCTTGGAATTGCGGTCGCTGGAATTGGGTGTTGGGAGATCCAAGGCGAGGGACGTGCGGGACAGGAGGGCCCACAAGAGCGGGCACCTAGACCGCGACCGTCGAGACCACACCTGTTCCCAACCTTACGTGAACTGACATGCCCGCCGTTCCCAGCGTGCCCCCGCGCCGGGACATTACTTTTGCAAAATAGCTGGCGTGTCATTCGTCCGGATGCAACTTACTTGTTTGGCCCTGCACATAGCCACCACGACGCGTCCAGCCAAGCCGCGCCGAACGTTGAGTCCGCTGGCCCTCACTGGTACCACCTCTCTGCGCCAGACCCTGCACCATGTACAGGCGGGAGATCTCACTTGTTATCGCGGCCCTCTGGCGTTCGTGACGCGTACTGCTTGCACAAGTTGTGTTGTCATATCGCGAGGTCCTCACGGTGTTTTGCTATGCCCAGCCGGTGACTGACGGCTCTCCGCAAAGCCGCCGCATTCGGCCAGGCTTGTCCAACCACACATCAGCAGTAATACCGTTGGGTTCACCTGTGCCTGCGAGGTACCTACCTCCACCAAACTAAGCCAGGTTGCGTGTACGTAGCCATGCTTCTGTCAGCATCTCTCTTGGGGGCTTGGAGGTGTATCTTGGAAGGCGGGTGATCCGGGCTCCACCATCTATAAACCTCTTTGTCCTCTGCTGCCGAATCACTATCGAACTGCATATCCCTTACTCACCTCAAGACATCTTCTCCTATTGGTTTGGCTACTTGAACTCAGATCAATAGCTTCGTGATCGCCTCTAGAGACGACGCCATCAAGCCACGCTTTCAGCTAGGCGCTGTCGACTAGCCTTAATCATCGAGCCCTTTGGCAACTTCGAGTGCTCAGCATCATTCAACAACCTTTCAGTTTCAGAGCACAAGAGATGAAGCGCACAACAAGTTCGGTCATGGGCCTCTTGGCTTTGGGTAAGCCCCCAACAACAGCCCCATCTTACCACGGTGCTAACCCTGTCTAGCCTCCCAAGCCACAGCGCAAGTAGCCAGTGTCTGCCCTTCTACCGGTGTATGCTATGGCCTCAACATCCCCGAGCGCACAGCATCATCCGGATCGGGAGACATCTTTTTCCAGATATCAGCCCCAAGCAACTATGAGTGGGTTGCGCTCGGCCAAGGCAGCGGCATGCCCAACTCCAACATCTTCGTTGTGTACAATTCAGGATCTGGAAACAATGTTACATTATCTCCGCGATCGACTAGCAGCTACCAGCCCCCAAGCCCCAATGATGCGGCTCAAGTCACTCTGCTTGAAGGATCTGGTGTTTCGAACGGTGTGATGACCGCGAACGTGAGATGTAAGACTGATAATCACCACGACATGAACACGAACTAACACGTGACCCAGGCTCAAACTGCAACTCCTGGTCTGGCGGCACCATGGACTTCACCAGAAACAGCGGAAGCTGGATCTTCGCCTACCAATCCTCCGGCGGACCTAAGAACGACGACTCCACCTCTGCGCAAATCGACCAGCACTCCAACCAGGGTGTCTTCGACTGGCAGTTCGCCCAAGCAAAGGGCGGTTCAAGTGTAAACCCACTCGTCAACACCTCCCCAACTGGCACAACAGGCGCAACACCAACCAACTGCCGCCAGCGCCCCTCCGGCGCCGCAGGCACAGGTAACGCCAGGCCAAGCCAAACCAGCAGCAACAACGACGACGACGATGACGACAACTACGGCCGCCCAACCTCTCGTCCTACATCGCGCCCCAATGGCCCCCCAGGAGACAAGCGCTCCCCCTCTCCCGACAAGGGCGGCAAGGACGACAACGACGACCTCCCCTACTGCGACACCCTCCCAAACGGCGGCGCCACAGGCGGAAACTCCGTGCAAACCATCAGCTCTGGCGCGTCAGTCAGCCCCTCCAAGAAACGCACCATGCTAATCGCACACGGCGTCCTCGCCTCCCTCGCCTTCGTCATTCTCTTTCCCTCAGGCGCCATCGCCATCCGCCTTGCGTCTTTCCCCGGTATCGTGTGGCTGCACGCTGGCTTCCAGATCTTGGCGTACATGGTGTACATCGCCGCATTCGGAATGGGTATCTGGCTCGCGCTCCCCATCAGCGGTGGTCACTACATCAGCAGCTACCACGCCATCATCGGTATCCTCGTTTTCTGCCTCGTCTTCTTCATGCCTTTCCTCGGAACCCTACATCACATCTTGTTCAAGAAGACGCAGCGTCGCACTCTTACTTCCTACGCGCATATCTGGGTTGGCCGTATCGCTATTACCCTCGGTATGATCAACGGTGGATTGGGATTGTTGCTGGCGGATAATTCGCGCGATGGTGCGATTGCGTATGGTGTTATTGCGGCGGTTATGTGGTTGGTGTGGGTTGCGGCTATGGTTGTGGGTGAGGCGAGGAGGAAGAAGGCGGTTAGGGCGAAGAACGCGCAGAGGACGGATAAGGTGCAGGAGGAGCGCAGGGAGAGCGATAGGAGTACCGAGGATGTGGAGTTGGCGGGGCATTATAGGCCGGCTAAGGGTCAGCAGTAAAGTGGGTGAGTGAGGATCTAGGGCAAGGCGTTGTAAGCTGGGAAGTGTTGAGGAACGCAAGAGAAGATGTATATAAGTGTAGTTGACATTTCCTTTGTTGTCAGAGAAGATCATGAACACGTTCAAACCTCCATCTATCCCCACACCATCTCCCCCTCCTCTCCTTCCCTCCCCATCCATCCTCCATCCTACCCCCTACCGCCTACCCATCCCACCCAAAACCCTGCTCGCCGCCTTGCTAACCTTAATCACATCCCTATACGTCAAACTCACCCTCGTCCCCCTCACATTCCTGCCTCCGTTCTCTTCAACCGCCTTTCTCCCTTCTTCACTCAACAACCCCCAATTCGCAACCGTCTCGGCGTTTAAATCTTCGTCAATCTCGATTGACGCGATACCATGCATGAGGTCTCTGTATGCGCGCCCCGTGGTGATGAGTAGGGAGCGGGGTTCTTGGAAGATGCGGGTTGGGAGGGGGAGTGGGGTTTCTTGAGTCTGAGCCTCGTCTGCGGCCGGGGGCTGGAGCTGGGAGGGCTTTTCATCTTCGCCACCTTTCATCCCTTTCCCGTCTTCTTTCCCTCCCTCATCCCCACCCTTCTCCATTACGTCCAAGCACAACCCCCCTCCCAGACTAACCGTCGCAACGACCTCAGCATACGCTCCACCGTCTTCGTGCGGCATAATGCCCTCACCGGGTTTATACTCATTGACAAGGACATGGTTAGGTTGACCGTGTGGCGTGTGCTGGAAGATACCCAAGTCTTTGAAGCGGGGTAAAATGGATGTGGTGAGGTAAGTCGGTAGAGGGGCGGCGAGGAGCGTGTTGTTGGATGTGAGTGTTGAGGGAAGGGCTTGGAGGCGGCGGTGGGTGAGGTGTGTCCATCTTTGGGCGGGGATCTATATGAAAGAGTGTATGTTAGTCAACTTGCAGGGGGGTTGGGGAAAGGTATAGTTTGAGGGTGTGGAGACCGAATGCAACGCATGGAGTAAGGCGGGGTAAGTAAACGTCCCATGTGCGAAGCAATATCCCAATCTGTAGACTAAGATGGGAGTTGGGAAGAACACATACCTTCTGCAGTATTGACGCTTCCTCCTCGTGACTTATGAAGTTCGGGATATAGTAGAAGTCCGGCGGTAGACCCGCAATGCGAAAAGCCTCCAGACCCGTTCTGTCATCTAGGGGCAAAGAGCACATGATTATTACTCGATACCAATGTGATTTTCAATGGCAGCCGGCAACCTTGCTAGCTCGTGGGGAGATGATGATGTTTGTGGGATGGACATGGGTCGAAAAATGATGTAATGCAGCTACCTAGCAAACAACCTTGAACGCGCCTCCGCCAGTTCGAGCTAGTCGCGCGCTCACGTGCGGGAGCTGCTCTCTGCATTACACAACCCATTGGGGTGCGACATGATCGCATGGAAATCGATGTATTGAACAAGTATGAAGATATGTTGGAGCTCCGTATTGTATGCAGCACATGCTCATCTATAGACATAAAATCGTGACGAGCCCCGGACTCCAAACATCCCAGGCCAAAACTTCGTTGAGATCTAATGTTCACGCTCGTAAAACAAAATCATAGACACATGTTCATCATACTCATACCATAACCCGCGACCACAGCATCAGCCCACAAACCTGGGGCCAACTACCATCTCAAAAGAAAACGCCACAAGCCTGCGGTGGAGATGCACTCAACACCAAAACCCACCCAACCCCATCAAACCACAATCACATAACAGCACACCCGCCAGGGCCACTTCTTGCGCGGCGTCTCCTCCCGCCCCCACCCGTAGCCCCAGCCCCAGCCTCCTCCTCATCCGCATGCATCATCTGCGCCTCTCTCGCCCTTCTCCTCCTGCGTCTCGCACCCGCCCCACCAACCCCCGCCTCCTCATTCAACATCATCCAATCCGCCCACTTCCTCTCCAGCCTCGCCGCAGCCGCAAAGTCACCCCTCAGAACACGTTTAGTATGCTCCTCAACAGTCGGCTGCCAATTGTGGAAGCACTTCAACTTGATGATTTCACTTGGGTAGGTCGCGACTTTACTCGCGGACCGTGAATTCGGTCTTGTGATCTCTGCGTTCCTTGATAGGACTTCGCGGACGCCGGTCCAGGTTACGTTTGCGCAGTCGTAGGCTTCGATGCGGAGGCCTACTTCGGGGCGTTCGGAGCTTGTGAGGCCGCGGGCAAGGCGGTTGCGGTTGCGCAGGCCGGAGGCGGCTTCGGCGAGGACGAGGTCGGAGATGCGTGTGTTGTCCATTTCGAGGGAGGCGAGACTGGTGCAGGCTTTTAGGACGGGGAGCATGCCGACGTCGCCGAGGTTTTCGCAGTACGAGATGCAGAGGTGGCGGAGGTGGGGGGCGCAGGCGGACTCGGATAGAGTCTTTAGGACGTCGTTTGTTAGGTTGTCGATTTCTTCGATGTCTAGATGGGTGAGAACGGGAACGGTGGGGAGTAAGCTGGTCAAGGCATCGTCGGTCAAGCCACCACATTTTGATACCTGAAGACCTTCTAGATACGGGACGTTGTGTACCAATGTCTTCAGGCCAGCATCCGTGATGCTGCGGCAGCGCGTAAGGTTCAGGTGCTTGAGATTCCTCGGTGGGACGATTGGGCGATCGGTAAGGACATCGACCTCCTCGTCCACGCCCTCAATCAAAGCAGCCAGTGCTTCGTCGTTGAGACTGTCACAGTTCTTCAGGTCGAGCCTTTCAAGAGTATTGCGCTTGAAAAGTGCGACCATCAGCTCGACATCGTCCCAACCTCGCACCTCACCTGCCCTGAGATCGCGCAGCTTCGTGCATCCCTCAACAACCTTCTTCAGTCCTCGGTTGTCGATGTTGTTGCACCATGAAATGTTCAAGACTTCGACTTTCGGGCAATGTGCAGCAAGGATTTTCATAGCGGCGTTCGTCGCTCCCGCAAGACCCGAGAGGTTGACATGGACAAGGCGACTGTTCTGGAGCAAGAAGCAGTGAATAGATGTCCGGTCGATTCGGCAGCCCTGGAGCGAGAAGTTCTCCAGGTTCTGACAGGACTCAATGAAGCCATCCTTGCCCCAGTGTTCTCTCAGCTGCACACAGCCTCTGAGATTCAGATCTTTCACGAACGGTCCTGCCGATGTGATGATGTTGACCAAAGCGTTGGCAGAGATGTCGCGGTAGAACTTGCTCGTGTCGAGATCGCTCCACAGTTGACCATCAAAGCACATTGTATGCCATGACTTGGAGACGCGCGAACAACGCACAACCTCCTTTGGCTCGAGGTATCTCAGGATCTGCATGCGAATCTCCGTGGGCATATCACTCCAGAAGTTGAAGTTTGCCCGTTTCTGGACCTTGTGAACGGGTCGCGAGAAGTAATCGTTTTCGGCTTCAATGCCGTCTCGAGTGTATGGTCGTCGGGCGGAGGGAAGAGGCACCGAGGATGGAATATCTGGTGTTTTCATCCGCAGACGAGTCCTTTCGTCCCAGAAGGGCGTGCCAGGTGGGCTGTTGGCGACGGAGGTAGGAGCTGTAGAGAAGCCATTCGACAGTTCGGAGGAGTAGGAGCTGCCAAACGAGTTCCCGTACGGCGAGCCAGGCGATGCGAGGGAGACGCAAGACATGGATGCCTTTCCACCGCTTCTCAGACTGTGAGAGCGGGGTCTACCCAAGTTCGCCAGACTCGAGGACGAGCCCATCCGTTGTAAGCCCATGAGAAGGCGCTGTCTGCCCTTGAGCTTTGGCTGCTCAATCATGATGGCGTCTGATGGCGGGGTTCCTGGCGCGGGACGCATTTCGCTGTGGTCGACAACCACCGAGTCGATGGACAAAGGCTCCATGGTGAAGCGTGGCTGTGCGGTACGCGTGCTCGGCGATAAGCGGGACGGGGCGGGGAATGTAGAGGATCAAAGAAGTCGAAGACCGAGGGAGGATATCGTCACGTCTACTGGAGCAAGATGGCAGGATGAGAAGGTGGGAACAGTCCCGTACCAGCGAAAGGGAACGAACGTAAGAGGAGCTGACGTTGACCCGGTGGTTGGGTGCGCGGTTTTTGATAGCTGAGCGGATGGCGGAACGCGCAGTTCAGTGCAGTCTAGAAAGGCGGGGATATGGCCCGTGTTATGCGGCGAGCCAGAGGCCGATCAATAGCCTTTCGGTTCAAGAAGGGTGCTTGGCCGTTGGCTGACAAGGCGAGCGGGCATCACTTGAGGGCATCTGGGTGCGATGCTTATGGTGTGCGACCAAGTGACGCGAAGGATGCCAGCAGCAGCGACGTGCAGCTCTTTCATGTGCAGCGAGTTGCTGTCGTCCAATGTCTTATCGTTGCTATCGCGTAGATCCGGAAGGCCCGATTGGGGGCGCGCCACGTGCGGCCTCCGATGTCACCAGCGCACCTCCGAAGAGAGACATTGGTCGCTTGACCGTTGAAGCAGTGTCGCGTGAGCTGATAAGAGCCTTGGATTACAGGCATCTCACTCATCTTGCGAGATGGACGTTTTCTTCAGATTCAAGATATGAAGAGGGAGCTGGCATCGGCATTCAGGGTCAGGTCTCCAGCCTGCAGTTGGTGTTATGCAGGGTCAACCAGCAGCAGCCTTTTTGCGTCTAGCCGACATCCACGACCCGCCACTGGTACAAATTCCGCCAATCTGGATGTCTTCTAGATGCAGAGGCTCCGCCTTGGAACTTTTCGCCCCAGACGCCAGGCAAAATACGTCCTTGGGCCCAACGGCACATGGACCATTCAGCCGGGCTTCTCCATGTTTCCTGAGAGGCGGGTGAGGATTGCACCAAGCATGTTGTAGCTGTCTGTCTATTAGGTTCGACAACAAGAGTTCGTTGATCTTAGCGTAAAGACCTGGGATAGTGTTTGCATCTAGAATTGTTGCAAACCTAGTGATGCAGACTTGCGCTGTACTCAGGATATCCATCCCCCAGGCCCAAGTCACGATACTCCAGCAAATTGTAGACCCGGATACAGCCCCCCTCCCATCCATATCCCACTATGCCGCCGTCTCCCCCGTACAATACTTCAAAAACTTGCCATGCGCCCCCGGCCAATTCTCCTCACACTTCGCCTTGACCGTTCCCACCAACATCCTATTCGCCCTAATCTCCACATCCTCCACAAGACTCCACTCGCATCCCTCAGCACCCTCTCTATCCCCCTCACTCAACCCCTCCGTCTTCAAACACCTCCACGTAGTCTGCTGTGTGAGCCCCAGTGGCGCCTTGATCGTCCATAATACGCCGTCATCGAGATCAGTCATGTGTGCGTCGAATTTGACGGTTGTGTCCCAGAGACCGGCGGGGAGCGCGTTCATGTGGTCCGTTATGCGGTAGCATTTTGCGTCTGGGGTGGAGGGGTCACTGGGCAGGTCTTCGTGCGAGGCGTATTCGGGGTCGAGGCGGATGAGGAGGACGTGGTTGTGGAGGTGGGAGACGGCTGTCGCGAAGGAGACGGAGCGGGGGAGGTGCGTTACGTGGTGGAGGGTTGCAGTTGTGTTTAGAGCTGGGGTTTGTTAGGAAGGCAGTGTTGAATAGGGGTGATGGGACGTACAGAACATGGCTGGTGGATTGGTGTGATAGCTGATTAGATGGTGGTGAGGGCTGCGATGAGGCACAGGTTGCGACGCGGATGCCGTTCCACCTAGGTATGTAAGTCCTGGTGTAAATTGAGCACGACGGGATTATAGCAAGTATGGTAAGTCTCGAAGATCAAAAGCAAGATTATCGGCGAGAAGCTTGAGAGAAGCTAAGCTTATGTACGTCGAGCGCTCGTTGATGATGCTTCTACAGTTTCACGGCGATAAGCGACGCGTCTCACCCAGGCACAACTATTAGGAATATAACTAGATTAAGATTTGTGCAACAAAGAAGCCACATTGAGCCCCCCGTGATGATATCGATAGCAAAAGCAAGAAGTCGGAGCTTTGTGGTTGACCTATGGCAAGCATCGGAGTGCGGAGCTTCAGTGGACGCGATCGGGATCCGCGGGGAACCTGGGAAGCCTGACGGCCAAGCCCTGCAGCGCGTCTCCGAGCTATCACGCCGACCTCGACCATCATTCTGTTAGTCGGGCCACCGCTTTGACAAGTCATAAAACTCGCTTTTGGACACCTCAATCGAAGATTCTTCATCTTCATCTACACATACGCAATGGATATTCTCACGCAAAAGACGCCTACGGCGCTGGCAATCGCACAGGCGGTGGGCATCACAGGCAGCGTATTCCTGGTTGGTAAGACACTCTGGCACTCAATGACCCTCTCTATGGTGGTCAATGGGAAGATACACCGTTAAGAGAATTCATACTGACAAGTACAACAGGCTCCAACGTCTCCCTCTCCGTTGTCGGCATCCCCGCCGCCATGCAAGCCCCCGCACCCCTCGCCGTAAAGCAATGGTACACAATCTTCACACGCGGCGGCGCAATCGCCCGCCCTCTTGCTGCCATCTCGGCGCTGGCAACGGGTTATTTGGCTTATCACCGTACGTTTCGTCCCATCTCATCTCCCTTCAAATTCCCAAGCCCCATTCCATTCACCTACGATCCATCCATCGCTCAATTTACCACACACTAACAACCCTCTAGAAGACCGCACCTCCACCCCCTTCCGCCTAAACGCCCTCGCCACCCTCCTTCTCCCCTCCATCGTGCCCTTCACCATCCTCGTCCTCGGCCCCACAAACAACAAACTCATGGCCAAGAAAGACGAGCTCGCCAACGCTTCCCTGCGCGACAAGCACGTCGAGCAGTTTGCCAAGGAAGGCGAGACAGTCAAGGAATTGATGGACAAGTGGGCTAGTTTGAACTTGGCGCGCGCACTGCTTGTCGGTGTTGGTGCCGTTTGTGCGGTTGCGGCGGGTGTTGTGGGCAGGAGGGAGGTCAAGGAGATTGGAAGGTTTGCGGGGTGGGGACGGTAGATTGGATGGTTGAGATGATGCATAGGTTATGGCTTGGAGGGTAGATGAAATTTGGATATGAATCATGGCTCATAGGGCAGGTAAAGATATATGGAGATTATGATACACGAATACATGCATTGATCAATACATCTGAGCTTAAGCAGTATATCAATTCTAATAAGATAGAGCTTCGCAAGAAAAGGGAAACATCTGCTTATAGTAGAATGTGCTCTGGGGCATGTGAAGCGCGAATCTCTGAACTGACTTCAGGCATACATACGTATATACCGAAACACTAAAAATAACTAATATACGATAGAAGCCATGTGCGTTGACGGAGAAAAGACGTACGACTCTACGCCAGCACACTGTAAGCCGTGTAGATCAAGATCTCACTCTCCACCACATCACATACGACTTCTTGGTAGCAAGCAACATACAATCCACAAATACATTTATTTATGTCACCTTGCTATAAAGATTCACCCATCAACCCCCAACACATCCCCCATCATCCAACTCTCTTAGTTCACCTTAGCCTGAGCAAGGCTGTTAATCTGCTGAGCACCATCCTGAATCTTGCCGTTGGCAGCCTGGAAACGGCACAGGTTGCCAGATCGCTCCTGGACGTTGTTGTCGCATACGAGCTGGTCGTTTGCTACGCAGTTGAGGGCGCCGTTGCCTTGTTTACGTCAGTCTTGCGTCTCATACACACCCTCTCTCGAACAAGAACTCGTCTGGATCTTATGAATATGAATACGTACAAGCAGCAGGTCCTCCAGGCACACACTTTCCAGCCGCACCGTTAACAGTGCAAGCATCCTGCTTGAGCGATTGCTCGGGGATACAGCATGCGCCGTTAGCTGCCTGACGGTTCTCAAGCACGCTGCGGGGGGTGTTGCGGACGTTTTCGACGTCGGCGATGGCGGCGGAGGAGACGGCGACGAGGCCGAAGAGGAGGGCTGTGATGGAGAACTGCATTTTGGCGGTTGTTTTTCGAAGTAGTTGGTTTTTTGGAGTATTAACGTTGATTATTGATTCGAAAGTTGCTGATGGGTGAGTGAAAGTAATCTGATCCGCACAGCGGGTAGTGAATAAAGAATAAATATAAATGTGAATTGGAAGACTGGCTTGAGAAAAGTATTAACGGGCTGGCGTAGATGCTTGCTTTATACTTGCTGTGAGGGGCTTCTTCTTCTGAGTACATGGCATTAATACCTATTTCGCTCTTTCCATAAAAGGTATCCTGGGACGGTGATCCTGAGGCAAGTCGCAGGCAGTCGATCATGCACATCTCAAACCTTTGGCCGGGTGGTCGGGCCCTGGCGGGTCTGGCAAACCGAGGGATCGCAAGCGGGCAAAACAATGATTCTTGTGTGTAGGGAGTATGGCCGAGATGGAACCGGTGTGCTGTTGTTCCTAGTCTCGAGAGATACAGTATACTTATAGTCCGCTTCTGTCATAGCCTTACACCGTGGTGGTGGTGACAAAAATCGTCTTACAACCCATCTCACCCCAACGCCACACTACCCAACCACAAGCGTGCCGTCAAACCCGAGTCGACAAGCGAAACCGAAGCGCTGCCTTGCACTTGAAACACTTGCTGCCTTCTCAAACATGCGGCCTTGGGGACCTCGGGACCTTGGAAATATGTAAAACGTAGAAGAACCTGCGGTTAAACGGCTGATTTAGGCGACGGGTCTGTGACATGCAGGTTCAGGCGCTTCCAGGCGCATCTTTGCATGACGGTCGTGAACGAGTTGAGCGTGAAGACCGAGGAGAGCTTTGTCTGAGTGCAAGCGGTACCGTAGTCTTGGTTTCGTCGAATGCGATTTTGCGCGTTGCGAGGAGGAGTGTGAAACTGCCGGCTAGCCGGACTATACCGCTCAGGTGTAGAGCGCTGCTGCTGCCGAGTAGCAAAAGAGATGTCGAGAAAGGCACCGAAAGAGGGTTTGAGAGAGTGTAGACGTTGGAGGGCTGCAGGACGGGTGCCCGCGCGTAACGTTGAGGCCAAGGTTGTTACGCGGGCATGCAACGTCGGGCGCTGAACACCATGGGAATCGCACATACCGCTCGCGCAACATCGCCGACTATGCGAAACATCCTGGTCAAATACGCTTGAGTAGAGAATATGCTCCCGGGCTGCGCCACAGGTTCTTCGACGTTGATGAGAGACATTGTTTAGACTGCAATACGTCTTCGGCAAAGACAGATAATGTATATGGATGTATGGCAAATTTGAAGATCTTCCGATCTGGAAGTAGATATATGTTGCCCATTTGTACGTCAAATGTGATAAATCACCCGAAATGCGGAAAGTACTGTGCCCACCTCGGGACTTCGAAAGCTGATTCCGGGAGGTGAAAGACGTCTAGGAAACACTCAACGATGATGAAGATCCTACAGAAGATATAAAACAACAAATAACATATAATGGATATGGCGAAAACCACTTGCAAAGAGTCTTCCACCAACCCTCCAGCTGGATGCAACTTAGGATACTCTTCGTAGAGCAATGCAAGACAAGCCGCAATTACAAGCGCCATGCCTGACGACACAATTGTCAGGCTGCTGATTTTCCAGAGGAGTTCATCTGTCTCCTTGCGAAAAGAGCGGTTCCAAACAAGAAGATGTACACCGCCATAGAAGAGACCAGCAAGAGGCAACCACATAAGTGAAAGAAGCTCGGAACTCTCCGCATTTTGACTGGGCCGATTGTGTATATGTACAGCCAAGTAGCTGGTCTTTTTCGTATTGTGAGTCACACAGCCTAGAGTTTCGGTGTATGGTCCGTACTTCCTGGCAACTTGTGAGGCTAGAATGAAGCGTCGTGAATTTATCTTAGCGAAATCCAGCCCAACAGAATCTGAGCCTGATCTAGTCGTGGGGATAGCGAAACCATGGTAAATAGCATACTCTGGTGTCGGAAATTGGGGGTCCTTCGATGCTCTGAGCGGTGTGTGGTTTGGGTTTGGATGGTGGATCTCCCTTCCAGAGTCGGGTACTAGGCCAGGACTATCATCGTCCCCCATATCCATTGGAGACAGACGAGCTTGCGGAATCATATCGTGAATGACTAGGAACGCAATCACTGGGTGAGTGTCAACGTTCGTGAGTTCAGTGGGCTCATCAACGTCTAGTGGCTTGTGCCACCAGAAGAAAAAGTACATGGTCAAGGCGCATACGGTGTGTACGGTGGTGTTGATCTCTAGTAACGAGATAGTCAGGCCCTGGGTTGACCGAGTAACACACTGCAAGCTATACCATAGCGCTTGTCCGCATGTCACGAGCTTCGTGAACGCATTCGCCTTGCTCTTGTCTATTATCGCAGATTCGGGTAGATCCGGGACGAGATCAGGGGTGTGCTCGGCGATGAATTTGAGGCCTTCTGGTGTCAATGTCATCCTCTGCCGTCCCTTGGGAAGATACTTCTGATCCAGACTCCGAGTATCGACAACGAAGCCGCCCATGGTGGCGTACATGGAGTGCGCTTGTGTCCAAGGGTGCCTCCGAAACCTGGATTCGGGTTCCACATCTCTGTCTTCAGTAGCCTGCCTTGGTTCTTGAGAGATGCTTGTTTTAGCTCTAGAAAGGCTTTGGAACATGTAGTTCAAGTTTTCCCATCGCTTCTTGATGAAACCTGGAGGCTCTGGCTGACCAAAAGCCTTTCTCATAGTTTTCCCTATGTGCCTTGCCTCTGCATGCTCGCAGTAGGCAGTAAAGACGACCTTAAATTGAGTCAACGTTGGCCGACCGTGTGGCAGAGTGATGAGACTCACCCATTCTGGAGCAAAGAGTGCTATAATCATCCAGCCTGTTTTCCGCCACATCTGTGCGTTGGCGCCTCCAGGTTCAGGGATATTCAAGTGAACGGCTGTCCAAACACACAGAATCATCGTCAAAAGAGACGACGACAGGATGGAAAACGTGCCGCGAACCAAAGGCTCTGGCTTCCAGGTGTGGTATTGTGTGCCATTGGGCATAGTTGTGTTCGCCATCTCGTCTGCCGCCTTGTCCAAGACTGAGTACAAGCTGCGCGCCCGCGATACGATGTATGAGATCTTCTCTGTTTGCTTGATGTAGGACTCGGAGCGTCTTCTATCTTGTGTTGGTCGAAGGCCGTGGTGAGATTAGGGAAGTTGGAAGTGAATCGGTTTGGTTTGCTATCGGTCAACCGCTTTTCAGCTGGCAAAAAGGTGGCGGTTGTGACGTCGCAAGGCTGAGGCTGTACAGCATCTCGACAGCCCAACGTCCCGCTCAAAACCTGAAAGCTGACAGACATGCATGTCCCGAATTTCACATTCGTCCAAGGGATGATGCCAACTCAGATGCTGCATAGGATTATGCTTTGTAGTGTCGCACAGCAGATCATATCTCATAATCCGTAGACGAATGTAAGCCTATCGTCGCCCTCCCTGCCAGACCGCGCAGCCTTCTCGAGCCAATCCGCTAGCCATGCAAGTTTCGCATGCGGCCGCATCACGTTGATGGCTTGTCTAAGCCACCGTTGTTGCTGCGGTACCGGACCCCTGCCATGAAGCCTTTCGGCCTCGACGTCGTCTTCGCTCCATTTGCGTAACATGTCTTGTCGCGTTTTGTTCTCAGCCTTTAAGCGTCGAAGGAAAAGCACGTAACCCAGAGCAGCTAACGCGACAGATGCAAGTGTCCACCAGAACGGGACAATGTAGCCACCCGCAGCGTACTTTGGGCGAAACAAAATTGCTGAGATGACTCCAGCGAGGTTGCCCCAACCGTTGATACCGAGGAGCAATGCGCGCTTGCCAGGTGACGGCGTGTTGCCAGAAATCCAGGCCACTGTGAGGGGAGATGCGACATAGGTACCCGAGAGGAGGATGTTGAGAGCGATGTAGCGGGGTATTGCCCATGAGGATGGCAACAGCACCACGATTACCAAGCCGGCTACCATAATGAATAGGCCAAGCAGTATAGGCTTGAGGCGTATGCGATGTTTGTCGCTGTAGCTAGCTGCGAAATACAGTACTATGGCTCCGCAGATGTGTGGTGGTGCAGTGAGCAAGTTGATGAGCGCAGGATTCGCCTTCTTCGTCAACGGTGCCAGTACAAGCGGGAGGAAAACGGAGAAGGCATAGACTGGGATGGCAGATAGAACGTTACAGGCGAGGATGTGCCATATCTTCGTGTTGAACACTGATGAAAGGACGTCGTGAGGGCTTAGACCACGATCGTCGACCAGCTGTCGCGACGGCGTGGCTGAGGTGATCGAGTGCTTGGATGAGTCGAGAAGACCGCGCGACTCCTCATCGTAAGTTTCTTCCGCTTCTCGATCATCTTCTTGGACTGCTGCCGGCGCGTTCTGTATGTCTCTGTCTCTCACCACACGCGAAGACGCATATCGACGCTCTTCAGGTGTGAGGAACCATGCCGTCTCCACGCTGTGTGGTAGCCAGAAGTATCCGATGAATGCCACCACGATAGTGAGAGTGCCCTCCAGTAGGAAGAGCACCTGCCACGGTTTCCAATCTTTATCCGAGCCTCCGTCGTCATTGCCGAAATGCGAAAAGACGAGATAGCTTATTAGGCCCCCAAGCGCACCACCGACTGCCGCCTGACCGTAGAAGAAGGAGAGCCGTCTGCCAAATTCGAAGCGCGTGTAAAAGAGGGAGAGGTAGGTGACGGTGACTGGATAGAAGCCAGCTAGAGAGAATGTTAGCTCGAAGTCTGGAAAGGAAGCGACGGTTGAATGAGGAAAGAGCGAGTGGAAGAGCCAGACCCAGCTAACATGTGCGACATACCTTCAAGGCACCCGATGAGAATGCGCAGCGTATACAGCTGCCACCTATGCCTCACCCACGCATGCAGCGCCGTGCAGACACCCCAAAGAAGCATACAACTCGGCACCCAAAGCACCATGCCATATCTCCTCCCCAGCGCCGCTCCAAGCGGCTGCAGCGCAACGAAGAAAGCGAAGAACAGCGCAACAGCCGTATTCAACGCACCCTTATCCAGTCCGATATCCGCCGTAAAATGCGCAGACTCTGCATTTCCGATCTGTTCCTCATTAGCAAACCTTCCCATTGCCAAAGTCCGCGTATACGTACATTCGACTTATCCAGCGCATTAAACAGGAACAGCAGCGCCAGAAACGGCAATAGTAAACAGTCCAGTTTCCTCAACGTCCTCTTATGCAACCGCGCATCCACAGCGCATGTCTCCTCCAGCTCATCCGGCGGCATCGTGTCGTGTTCCGTTGCAGAGGCAGACGAAGCTGCAGTGAGCTCGTATACCTGGTGCTCATGGTCGGCCATATTGTCGGGCGCCAAGAGCGAGCCCACGCGCATGCATCACAGGGTCTGCGACTTCGGATGACCTCGGTCGGTGTCGCGGGCAGTAACGGGTTTGGGTAAGTGGGCAAAGGTTAGAGTCAACAGAGTGATGCATGATGGAATGTTGTGGAAATGTCAGATGGAGGTACGGAAGATTAGATGGGCGGTTGAGCTATTGTTTTGGACCCTGAGGGCATGACGTTGTTGATTGGAAGGTTCATGGGGGTGCTGGGATTGGCGCTGGAGTGGGAAGGCGCCGAGGGTGGCTTATCGATTACCACCGAGATTGTTGATTATCGTTTTGGGTACTCTCGTGACTCTTTAACATGACACTATGACATTCGATTTCATCACGCGTCCTTTGTCTACTCCATCATCTCTTCTTCTCTCTTTCCAAACGCCTTAACAGCCTCATAGTACAACGTAGCAGTCGCCTCACACGGTCCCTTGGCCTTCTCAGTCGCACACTGGTTGAACATGTCCGTCTTGAAGTTACTATCGGTACGCGCCTTCATCGCGTCGAAACGGCCTTGTTGTTTGTAGTTGCGGTAGCCGAAGTCGTGACGGTAGCAGGAGTTGATGACTGCAATTGTCAGTATGGTGGACTCGGCACGCAGAGAAGTGTGAAAGGGACATGGATAGTGGACGTATGATGGAGGATTCAGTATGGGAGGAAAGAGAACGTACAGTCGAATCCAAACGGATTATCCGGACTAGCAGTGCATCCATTGCTGTCCCAGTTCAGTTCTGGAGGGCCGACCTTTCCGTTACGGTTGGCGATGAACTCCGCGATGGAAATGTCGAACATATAGCTATCTGTGACCTGCTCGAGGGTTCCCTGACGTTCGACAAGTTGTGCAGGTGCAGAAACCGCAAGAGAAGCAAAGCCCAGGAGGGCAGTGATGATGGTGGACTTCATGGTGGGTGGACTGGATGCAGTGTTCGGGACACAAAGTATCGTATATAACCTGAAGCTAAGCTACACTGCCTCACTTTATACTACGTACACCATACACCACGATGCGTAATGTCCCGATGTTTGCGCCGCGGGGTCTTCCCGGTCTTGGGTGCTTGCGACACTATGGGTACCTGCATGTGTGCTTCGGAGCAGATCACTTGCATATGAAATGAAGCACTTCGTCGAAATAGGTCCTTATGTGCTGGAAGCGTTGTAGTAGGTAAAGAAACAGCATGCAAAAGGACGGAAGAATGCATGCGTATGCCAGATCTGTCAGATCTGTCCGTTGTCACGGTCTTATGTCGGACTTGCCAAGAGGTATGTAAGCAGGTGATCCGAGACAGCCTCTTCAGCCGCGCTATCACGACCGCAGTTGCTGCGCATGTTGTTGATCGGTATTTCACATCAGGCAGTGTGAGGAAGGAATGGGAAGGTGAAGAGTGCGGACAGTGTTTGAGTGCCATGGTGATAAGAAGGAAGGCAAGATTCAGAATTGAGTCTACGCAAAGACGAGGCAGATACTCCAGGTGGTTGTGGGTACTTACACATCTCATATCGATATCCAGCTTCTGCAATGGCAAATCTCGTCAAATTGAAAGGGGACCTTCCTAGAAGTAGCTGGGTACGCATCAGAACTTGGCAGGTTGATTCAAGGTTGTGTGCCGACGAAGCGCGCTTTCGAAATGCCGTTCGGGAACTGGTCATAGGATGCTGTTGTCGTGGGGGTAGGTCGTGCAGGTTGACTGTCTGAGGATTACGAAAGTCCGAAGGCTTGAGCTTGATAAGTTGAAGAGATGCCCCACATGTTCGTCCTTCACTGGTTTGATAAACACGGCTACCGGTCATCAATGCGGGGTTGTCGCTCTGAATATACTGGCCCCTACCTGCAACTTCTCCAATTGTTGCGTCCTCCCTTGTAATATCATGAGCGGGCCTGAGGCGTCGGTTAAACATCGGAGAACGCCCTATAGTCATCACTCCACGAATCACCACCATCTTCGTGCAATGCCATTCGATTGTCTATGAGCATATTCCCACTACTTATACAGTGTCATCCGCTCTTTCTAGTCCTTCCAATCCCTCGCTTACAACTTGCTGATGAAGAGACGGGCAGCGAACATGCGCAGACGCTGGGGCAGGATGTACTTGGAGAAGATGTAGATGAGCGATGGCAGGAGGATGAAGGCCACGGTGGTCTCGTTGACGAAGAAGAAAGGAATGAGCTGGGGCATGGCCGACTTGAGGATGGTCTATCACTTGTATTAGCTTTCTTCCTTCCTCTCCAGATCTTTCCCAGAGTCCAATCTCACCATCTGCTGAGGGCCAACCTCGGTCTTCTTGTTCTGGCTCGCGATGAAGGCGGGGCGCGCCAGGGCGGAGGGGCGGACGGCCATGGGCGCGCGGGCAGCGGCGGCCCTGGAGAAGGGGCGGAGGAAGCGGGCGGCGTTCATGATGGGCTATCTGGAGTTTTGCGGGTCAGCGCGCTGCTGTGGGGGTCCAATTGGCGGGTCTGAGCCTGCGAGAGGGGGAATTGACGCACTGGACGCGATGGTCGAAGCCTGGGGAGATGAGGGGAGATGGTGTTGCGGTCGCGGGAGTTACGGTGGTGTTGCTATCGTCGTCCGCAAAAGCTCGCACAGCTGCGATCCCGGAAGTTGCCGCGTCCGTGCGTTGGCTTGGCGCTGCCTTCCCTACCAACTCCGCACTTCCCCACGACTACTCATCTGTATCACACATTGCGTCTTTGAAAGTTCTTGAGACTCCTATACTGTCGCCTCCACCCAGCGTATTCCCTTTCACGATAGCCTTTGCTCAGGTTCTGGAACGCCCCTGCTGCACGCCGCCGGACTGCCTAACACTAGAGTTTAAGGTTTGCACAGTACTCCAAACATGATGATTGGTGTAGAGAATGTCGGATCTCTTATCCGCATGGATATCACAGACCTCTACAGCTTCATTTCTGGTCCTATTTTATATGACGAAATGAGCTAGTGTTGGCTCTTCCTTTCAACCGTGTCAAGTGCGGGGGGCCTCATCTTCCAAACTATGTAAAGGTGAAGCTTACTGCACTCGTGTGACATTTCTTTACCTGACCTTGATTTCCAAAAACCAACATGGCAATCGAGAAGATCATGATATTAGGGGTAAGACACGAGACGGACTGGCTGGCATCGAGTGGCTAACACGCGTAGAACTGGGAGCTTTGCCTCACCATCCTCAACGCCCTTTTCCCACAGGAGAAACGACAAGGAACACCCAGATATCAAGTTACTGTACTCACTTATCTTTCGCAAACCCTTAGTCTGCCACCTCACGTCAAGGCCTCCGATGTACAGCACAAGAGATCCGGCTACTCGTCCGCTTCACTGCAATCAGTAATGACTGGACAAGACTTGGTTGTAAGCACAATGTCAGGCGGAGATGTAGAGCAACAGATTCGCATCATAAACGCCGCCATTGCCGCCGGCGTGAGGCGCTTCATCCCTGATGAATTCAGTCACGACAGCATGAACAAGCAGATACAGGCGCGCATTCCGAAAGATGCCGGCCGAGCAAAGGTCATTGCTCATTTGAGGAGCATGCGGGAGGACTACCCATATTTTGAATGGACTGCGATTGCGACAGGGTACACTCTGGACACTCAGCTGATCAGTGGCAACATGGGTTTTGATCTCGAATGGCATAGCGCGACTATTCATGGTATCGGTACTGAAGCTTTCGCAGCTTCCAGCTTGGAGAGAGTTGGACGAGTCGTGGAACGCGTCATCTCACACTGGGACGAAGTCAGGAACCAATACATATACGCTGCAGGCGTCATAACGTCTGCCAACGAGGTCCTGAGATCTACTGAAAAGACGACCGGCCGTGAGTTTACCGTCGGAAATCACGATGTTCAAGAGTGTGTTGCAGAGGGGGAGAAGAGGATAGAGAAAGGATTCCCCGACTCTGGCATGTTTCTGCTCGAGCGGAGCGTGTTGTATGACGAACAACTGGACGCATCAAGACCGTTCAGGAATCGTAACTCGAACTATGTACTCGGACTCAAATCAGAGTCGGTCGAGACTATCGTCAGAACCGCCTATGACGACTTCAAACACTACGGCAAACCCGGATGCGGATGTTCAGCTTGATACCCCACTTAACGTCAGACTTCTATACCATACCATCAATCTCACGCCTAATTCTACCTCATCTCCTCTCTAATCGCACTGCCTGCCCAGACCATAGCCCTCCCCTGCAAGATCCGCATATCCCGCATAATCTCCCATCTCCACACCCAGCCCCTACCCGTCCTCTTTCCCGGAGCGGCAGACAAACAGTCCTTCATATAACTCAAAAACCACCCTTACCGATCAGGAACGATGTCGTGCATACACCCGGATAACGCCACGTCGTAGATCCCGTTCGGCATCGCTTGGACCCAGAGTTCGACCCAGCCTCAGGATACGACCTCGGGAGGCTAGGATTGGGAATCACGGGATACGCGGGATACGAGAGCGCATGGCGGGCCATTGTGAAGGACGTTTCGCATGATTAATTTCCTGGATGTCGATAAAGTTCGAGGAAGTGTGGATTTCAGAGGATGGGGACGGATTGTGGACGGCGTTGTCCGCGGTGGGATGTGCGAACGGCGCGCGGGCTTCACGATACCACTGAGGACGCGCAACAGCAATCACTACTAATAAACCTCACCGATATCAGTAACATTTTATACCCCCCACCTATTATTAACAACATCTCTTCTCCACTTTACCTGCTCCCTCACCCACACACATCCCCCTCCCCACCCACCGCCCCTCCTCGGCCAACTCAACGCAACAACCTCGGTCAAAACTCCCAACATGTGTCCATACCCAACCCACACGGCCTCATCCACGTTACACAGCCTCGTCACAGCCTCAGTTTCGGGCTGCAGGATCTGAGACCCAACGGCAAAAAGGCTGAAACACCGCGTGTGCGGGAGGCGTTGTCTGGGTCTCACCGGCAAATGTTGACGGTGCGTTGTGGTTGTTGGGTGAGTAGAATGGGGTGGAGGGGATGTGAGAGGTGGAGTGTTGGTGTGTGGATGTGTGTTGGTTGTTGTGGTTGTGGTTGTGGTTTTGGTGTTTGGGTGACTGCGTGAGGTGGCAGTGCGGGAAAAAGACAATAGTGTCGGATGTGGCTGAGCGTTGGGCATCCATTTGCTTGTTCCCGCACCGCTCGCTGCAGGCCCAGTCGACCAAATTAACGTCTTTTTATTTTCCTAAGCACGTTTGCTCAACAAGTTTCTATTTTCCCATCATCCAAATATAGCCAATTCAACACTTCTCAAGTCCATGATTGTAAAACTTCTCGAACGCTTTGTTCAATGTATTGCAACACAACATCTGCAGGAGAAAACAAGTCTATAAACGTTTTTGCGCTGCGCAAAGTAAAAAAAGGTCGGGACTAAACTACGTTCTACCTACGTTGGTTCGCAAAGTAAAGGGGTGGGGATATCGCTGGTGTGTGTGACGTGTGACATGTCGAGGGATAGAGATGATGACAAGAAAGGCTATGCTACTACTGAAAATGCTGGGAGTCGTGCCTTCGTGAATGCCGAGATTGATGTGACGCTGCTGCGGGAACGGAACGCTATAAACAAGAACGCTGGAAAGGGGGTGTAATAGTCGCGGTGACATGTGCAAGATTAGACGCAAAAATGAGGAAGTTCAGATACTCGTACCACACCCAACCGTGCGATAGTCTTTTAGTGCCACCCCTTCGTTGATGTACCGTGAAGCCGGTGACGCCGTGAGAAACCCAGGACACAATTGTTGCTCGTGAAAGAAAGTCTAGAGGACGAAGTTTGACTCATATCATGCTTGCGATTGAGTTGAGTGCCGTGGTAGTTGTTCGTATACCCACAAGCTCGGGTTCACTGACTTGATGCGAGAGATTGGGCGAATGCGAGTACTGGTGGCCGGAGAAGCTCTGCAAGCTTTGGAGTGGCGTGGTAAACATGCCGACTACGGGCTCGTGTCTGCTAGAAGGGTCGCCATACGCATCACCAAATGAAGTCGCAGTCGGGGTTCGAAGGGAATGCATGTTGGGTGTGCCTGAAGTCGGTGTGGGGTACGCTGTACTGGGATAGCACGAGGTGTTGACTTGCGGAGTCGATGTTGGTGTGGATGTTGGCATGGGAGACGGACCACTCGACATGCTGTAGGACTGGAGCGACGAACTACCGGGTATCGGTGTTGGTGTAGAATGGCGGTGAGATGTCGCGTCTGACGTCGAGAGCTCCGGCTTGACTGGATACGAAGACGAGGTCGCTGACGCGGACGACGCTGCACGAACGCGCCCAGCCTGTGTCTCACGGCGGCGCTTGGGGCCATCTTTGACTTTGGGATGTGTGTGACACTGCGGTATTGTTAGCATACTCGATCTTATGATAGTTGGTAGCGAGGCGAATCAGAACTACCGAGAACCAATAGCCAAGCACCGTGGAATGTGGAGGACGTATGACTTACCTTGTATGCATGTCGGAACCATGTTGTTCCCTTCTTCTTGTTGCTGACGAGCGCAATCCATTCACCGCAACTTCCGCAAAGTCCTTCCCATACATCGAGATTGCCTTCCGTCCGGCGCGTGTCTTGCGGGCCCTGGAACGCTGCGCCGGTAGCTGCGCTGACACCATGCGTGAAGGACTTGTCGTACCAGAAAGCGCTGTTCTTGAGTACAAGCCATCTACCAGGCTTGCAGAGACCGCACCAGCCCTCACGTTTGTTGCCATGACCGCGAACCCAACGCGGGGTGTACAGGTCGCCAACAAAGCGAAGATCCTGCTCGTGTGGTACAAGGTCGGGATCGGACGGGTTCATGTCGGACTCCGGTGGGTTGAGTGCCTCTTCGTGCAGGGAGGAGTAAAGATCAGGTGGGTCTGACAGGTCTGCAAAGTGTGATGAGCAGCCGCCGTGACGATCCGCGTTACTTTGGAGTAAGCGGAACAGGCCCTGCGAAGGTAGCGGTCGAGGCACCTCGAGATGATGCTGCTGTTGTTCCTGGTGGGCGAAGAACGGCTGGTTGTTGGCATAGGGAGAATTCGATTGCGAGTACAACACGTTCTGCGTCGGTAGCCCGAAGTTGTTGTAGGCACTTGGCGGGTAAGCGGGCAGCGAGTGATGCGGGTTCAGGCGGGGACCGTATGGTGCAAAGCGATCCGAAACCTGTGACATTGGGCGTGAGTTGTTTGGGGTCGATGTTGGCGCTTGCCCGGTGGACCATCTCTTGAACCGAGTGCTTTCGAGTGTGTATGGTGATGAGCGGACATTGTTGTGCGGTGTCGGCGACACGCGGGAGCGACTTCCAGTTCGAACAACGCCATCGTACTGAGGTCGTCGTGGTGAGGCAAGCGGTGACAAAAGATGGCTGGCACTCGGCTCCGTGTGGTTCCAAGTCTCATACTCAGACGGATATGAAACTGGTTCCGATGATCCCATCTCTTCGTAGGATGCCGGCTCTGGAAGCACACCGCCAGTGCTAGACATCGAAAAAGACGACTCGGACAGTCTCCGGGTGGAATTCGGATTGAAGTTGGCCATGTTGTCGTGTTCTTGTTGGCCCATGTTGTTGTATTGGCGTAGATCAATGATCGGAGTGTTCTCATCGTGCCCCATCATGCCATGACTGAAGTCCGACACATCCGACTCCAGAGAAGGAAACGATTCCAACTCTTCGCACACCTTCTGACCCCATGGACCTTTGTTCGTTAGCATAACATGCATGCCTACTGCTGAAGGAGCTTACTTGTGTCGATAACGCCGGGAAAGTAGTCAGTCGTCGCAAGCGATTGCGGGGCAGTCATGGCGGTGCTGTAGACAACACCACTAGTAACAGTCGGTTGCGAAGTCATCATGTCCGGTCTTCCCATAAACTGTCGTTGATCCTCTCTGTTGCCTACAACAGGACCCCGCGGCGTAGCATAGTACTGCTGGGTTTGCGGCACAGCCCACGTGGGCTCGGGTGGCGACGGTCTGGACATAGGGTGAAGGCCTTGTTGCTGATGTTGTGGTTGCTGTTGCTGCTGTTGCTGTTGCTGTTGCTGATGTTGATGTTGATGTTGATGTTGATGTTGATGTTGATGTTGTTGCTGTTCATGAGGAGGAAGGCTTGCGTAAGAGTACATTGACTGCATCCCTGGGGAGGGGGAGGGATGCCCCATGGCGTACTGCCGATTAGGTGACGGACGGTACCTAGAAAGGCCGTCAGTATGCGCGCACGAAGTAAAGATGACTGAGAATACTCACTGTTGAACCGCATTGAACTCCATCTTGGGTTCCGTTCTCTATATACAACGACCGTAAGATGTTATGGTAGTAGTCTGTAGTGCAACGTGGTTAGCGACTGATTAGGCTATACTGCTAGACAAGGGATCACCCGTCGAAGCCCTGAGTGACATCGAGCAATACTCAATTAGGAAACTCACATTGATAACGAAAGTAGACGGCTGCAGAAAGGAATGTGGCAGGGCGATAGCGCTGTGCGACTATGGCTGAGCAGATGTGGCGCCGGGTTGGATGTAAGTTTCTCAAATGAGTGTACGAGAACAAAGTTCTCAATCGCAGCCAGCGCGGATGGAGCCCGCTCCAAATGAAAGAAATGTATACGAAGATAGTAGTCGGGCAGGATCCTAAAGAGTGACGGGCCAAATAGTAGGAAAGGCGGTTGGAGGGGTTGCTAGGCTATATGATGAATGCACGGGGGTTGCAACATCCGAGAGGAACAACGAAGAGCAATGATCTCTGTGATTGACGCAACGGAACCGCTTGGGCGCAAGTTTGAGAGAAGTGTCGGGACGCGCCTTGGCTGCAGGTGATCTGGAACGGCCACAGCAGAAGCGTTCACCCAAAAGAGCGTCTGGCGGGGATGGTGTAGTGGGTGGTGGACCGGGCGCAAGGCTGCTGGGATGCCAAAAGGCGATTAGACGCACTCTGAACGGTCGCACCAGTCGTTGTCTCCATGATCCTCTCGGCTGGCTCGGAGAGGCTCCTCGGGCCTGCGCACCAAGTGCCCCATGTTGCTGAGGCGGAGGTGTCGACATGGATGCCGCGCTGCCCTCGGCCATCATGACGACCCTCTGACAAGGAGCACTTGGTCGACGAGTTCAGCT